TCCAATCACTGCCCCAGAAGGAGGGTCCATGAATTCTGCCTCTGGATCCTGGTTTGCATCCCATCTTTCCTACAGCTGTAAGACTCAAGGGGTGGGGAACATCCTGATCTACACAAACTGGTAACATCATGAGTAGAATAATGTGTTTGGTTTGTTCCCAACTGCAATGGACACTCTGGATTTTAATGTTATACCCTGTTATTATAATGCTGTTATTTTGCTGGTACTCATTATAAACAAATATATATATATGAGTGTACTGTGTAACCCAAAACAAGAGGATACCAATCATTCCAAAAATACATACATTGATATAACAGTGCTTTTTTTCCAAAATTGGTAATTAGTTCCATATGATGCTCTGTTTAATATTGCTAACCATTAATATTTTTGCAACAACTTGAAGTTGTAATTGTAATATAGGCAGCACCCTTTTAAACTACAGTAAAACTTGGGAGATTGATGTATCCCAACTGTCTTAGTTTAACAAGATTACAATTTAGAAATTAAGAGACTTCAGGTGGAAGTGTGGAAAAGGAAAACAAACAGCTTTTTATTAGCAAAATCTGAATAAACAACAAATGGTGCAATCAAAAACTTTCAGAAGAAACAAAACAAAGCCCCAAATCCCCAGGTGGGCGGGAGAAACCTGTGCAACCCAGGGTGGGGTGGGGGGGGAGGCAGGACTGTCGCTGCAGTTCAACAGCTGCTCGCAGCCAGCAATGAAGGAGTCCCTTTTTCCCACAGGCAGTCTTGAAAGCAGAATACCTTGCTCTGAGATGGGTCAGTCTCTCTCTCTCTCAGTCATCCTCTGCGAGGTGTCCCATGGGGAAAAACTTCCTCTCAGGAAAAGAGAAAGAGGCAGCCAAGAACCGGGCTCCTGCTCTGTCTGGTCCCGGACCAAACCCCAAAAGCCCCCAAACAAAGGACACCCTTTGTCAGAGCAGAGCAGGACAGTCCCCTCCCTGGCCTGGTCGGTGATGCTGGGCCTGATGCCCCCCAGGACAGGGTTGGCCCTCCTGGCTGCCAGGGCACTGCTGATTCACTAGCCACCGACCAGGACCCCCAGGTCCCTTTCCTGTCACTGCTTTCGAGCATCTCATTCTCAGTCTGTCCATATATCCAAGGTTGCCCCATCTCAGGGGCAGAATCTGGAACTTCCCCTTGTTGAACTTCCTATGGTTGGTGATTCCCAGCCCTCTGATTTATTGAGGTCTCTCTGCAGGGCCTCCCTACCTATGAGGGAGTCAACAGATCTCCCAGTTTTGGGTCATCTGCAAACTTGCTCATTGTCCCTTCCAGTCATTGATGAAGATGTTGAAGAGCACAGGGCCTAAGATGGAGCCCTGTGGAACCCCACTAGTTACAGGAGGCCAGTCTGATGTCACCCCAGTCACCCTTTGTGCCTGAGCCAATTGCTCACCCACCCCATGATGACAGTTTGTCCAGAAGGATTCTGGGAGAGACATTATCAAAAGCTTTACTGAAATCAAAAAACCCCAAAGAGTTATGGCATTTCTTAGCGATTTAGCAGCAGAAGCCTGGGGAGAGTGTACTGGCATAGATTTTGTGAGCGTGGGATGGTGGTGCTCCATGTGTTCAATTAATAGTGAGTGAAAAGGCTTTATGGAATCCCACAGACACTAATCACAAAATCCAGCAGGGCTATGCTCAACTATGGGACATAAAAGGCTCTGATGGGCAGGAAATCATGGCCCTCCCCACTGTGACAATGGATATGTGCCATAGTGTTAACAGCGCATGCAGATCCTGCTGTAAGAGCATATAAGCCAGCAAAGCTGAAGAAAGTCACCTCATGGGTGACCAGGAAAATAATGTCTGTTGCCCTTCTCTCTGCCCACACAGATGCTCCCACCTGTGCATCCAGGTGAGCATCAGTGTGAGCACAGAGAAGAGCCTACCTGGAGCTGGATCATGGGGCTTATGGACACACAGGTTCCTTTTGACACAGGGGAATGGAGATGTCTTCGCTCGAGGTGCTCACGTGTGCAATATAGGGAATAGATTTGATATGGATTTATCCATCAGACATTGTTGATACTTGAGCAAGTCACAGAGATCTTTTTGGTTCAAGGCATCCAGAACACACTACTAATGGGTGTGGGAAGGGCTGGGCCTGGTGGAAGGGCTGGATGTGGACATGTTGGCATGGCCAGGGCTTGTGGGGAGGTGTTGCCCTGCCAAGCCAAGTGCTGGCAATTCCCTACCAGAAGTGATGCAGACAAGCCCAGGGGTTGGCAGAGGGCAGGTTCCTGGGGCCAGGGACAAAGCCACTGGGAGCTGCAGGGAATGTCTGTAAACCCCCTGAGCCGTGGGGGGTGGAAATGGGGTTGAGAAGGGAAAGGGGAAGAACACGGTGAGAGGAGGAGCTGGAGGAGCAGCTCCAAGGCTCCCAGCTCCCAGCCCTCGCCCAGCCCAGCAAAGCCCAAGCAAGCCCAGCCTGGACGCCCCAGCCCCATTTTCCCAGCTCAGGAGCTCTGTCAGAGAGAACAGGCCGGGCTGGGTGACTCTCTCTGGGCCATGCTGGAGCGCTCCCTGGGCTGACTGCGGGCGGGCCTCACCGGGGCATAGGTTGTGCTGCTGTTCAGCTCTTGCACACGAGGCTTTAGAGAGAAAAAGGAAAGCCCGTTATTTCCCCTGCTGGCTGCAAGCCCTGCACAAGCCTCTGGTCCTGGGCTGCAGGACAGCTGCAGGGAGCTGGGCCCTTTGCCTTCAGTTTTGGTTTGGTTATTTTTCCCCCAGTTTAAACCCCTAAATTTTACATGTGACGTTCCATCATGAAGTATTTTTTCCAGGGAAAATATCTACAGGTGATACTGAGAAAATAAAATATTTTCCTTGGATGAAAATCTATCTCATAAATATCTACAAGTGCATCCCTTCAGTTCTTGGTGGAAATGGCCCTGTGGGACTCCCCAGCCCAAGTCACTGGCACAGACCCTGAGACCCACATCCCATGCCCAGGCCCTGCTCCCTGGTTTGGCACCAAGGCTGTGCCACAACTCACCTTGTTCCGTCCAACATGGGCGATGGTGGAGTCTGGTGGGGGGCAAAAAGCACAGAGTGAGCCCTTGCTTCCCATTCTGAGAGGGACAAGCCCCACTCTGCCTTTGAACAGCAGATCCCTGGGGTCAGCGCTGAATCCCCTGCCCTGTTTGCCCCTAATCTCACCCCACTCCTGGCAGCAGAGGAAGCTGCCCTTCCATCTGTGGATGCAGAGCAGGGATGGGGATCTGTTGTCACCTTTCCTCTGCAGGCTGTGTGTGCAGGGAAGAAGCTGGGGAGCAACAGCATGGGGAGAAATCTGCCCTTGTTCAATGGGAGTTGTTTTGCAAATCCCACTGGGAGATAAATTGCTGGGATTGCATGTGGAATTGGGAAAGGCCCTGCAATAAGAGAAGGGGATGGAGATGATGGAAAGGGGGTTTGGGGCAGGTCCCTGTAACTTGGTGCAGCTCCTGAGGCTGCGGCACGGCCAGTCAATGGTCTCTGGGTTGCTGGTGATGCCAGAGACAACCAGGACACAAGAGGGGGTCAACCAGAATGGGGAGTTGGTACTCACAGTGTATTTCATTGTCATCAGTCCCTTCAGCCTCGTGGCTGGGAACTTGCTGCTGTCTGGAGAGAGTTGGGGGAAAGGGTTTTGGGGTCTGTGTCCAGACCCTGATGAGCCCTTTGGAGTCATTGCCATGGATGATTCTGTCTTGCATAGAGTCCATGGCTGGAGTCAAGGCCAGGGCAAGCCCTGCTCCTCCCTGCCTGCACCATGGGAGAATCTACCCATGAGCAAAGACCAGGCTGCCCCTGCCCAAGGACCACTCCAGGGGGCCTAGGATGCCCCATCTCCATCAACCCCCAGCCCCCAGCCCACAGGGATTGCTGCTCACCTTTGGCATCTCTCTCTGCAGGCTCCTGCAAGGAAAAGAAAGGGAGAGGTGGGAGGCAGAGTTCCTGCACAGCCCCGACTTTCCATGCTCTGGGCTGTGCAGTGAAGGTGATGGGCTGAACCTCCACATCTCACTCAGAGAGGGATTTTTCAAGCCCAGATTATAAAACAATGAATCCTCTTTCCCAGCCTGGCCTCTCCCAGGCTCTCAGCAGCTGTGCACAGGATGGGAGCCAATGTGTGCCTGGTGCAGGGCACCTCTTTGATAAAGTCTTTATCATCTCAGCAGATTTACTTCCCTCATTTGACAAATGAAAGGCCTGAGAGGCTCAGCTTCCTGTGAAACAGGGTAAGGATCCAGCCATTCTAAACTAGCATGGGTCAGAGAGCAGCAGCTCTGCATTAAGTGCAATTTTGGCCTCAGATTTTCCCCTTGATATCCCCAAATCACTCACCTTTCCTCACAAAACAGTAGGTGGCTGCAGCCAGGAGGAAGAGAGAGATGGTCACCAATCCTATCATAATGTCTTGGGAAAAGGTCTGAAAGCCCAGGGGATTGGTATCTGGGGGCAGAGAAGCTGTTGGGGAAGATGGGGAATTATGGGGAGCGGAAGCAGAGAGCAGAATACGCCCTTAGAGCCAAGCGAGGTCCTGGCTGATGAACCTCTCAATGTCCTGCAGTTGGCAGCTGGGCAGCCTTGGCCCAATGCTGAGGAACATTGGGTGTGAGGGAGGGAATCACTCACCATTGGTGGCTGTCCCTCCCTGGAAGCCTGGGAGGAGAAAGGCACAGGCTGAGAATCTGCAGCTCCCCCAGGTACTGCACAGATTCAGCCACCGTGGGGACCCCCAATCCACCATCTATCAGCTGTGGGGATCAATAAATGAATGCCCTGCACAGCTATGGCTCTGCATTAGATCTGGTACCACCACTCTCCCCTTTCCATGATGCTGGGGCAGGAGAGGAGCAGGATTCTCTCCTGGGACTGGAAGGAGTGTCCCTGGTGGCAAGGGCTGGGCTGAACTGCACACTGACCTCCAGCATCCCAACTGCCTGGGGATATGCCATGAGGTGGGGCAGGGCAGGTTCCCCTCACTCACCTGGGCTCTGAGGGGCCTGGGAGTGTTTCCTGCCCATCCCCCACTGCCAGGACTCACCTGTGACTCTCAGGTTCTGGGGAGCACTGAGGGCAGAGTTCCTCACTCGGTTGCTGTTGTCCTTGTGCTGGTATCCACATGTGTATGACCCCGTGCTCCGCCTCGTTGTGGTGAAGAGCATGTAGTAGGTTCCCTTCTTTTGTTGGGCTTTCAGGCTGTGAAACTCCACCCCATCCTTGCAGAAGACAATTCGTGTGACAGGAGACTTCATGACTATTTGGCACCGAAACAAAATCTGTTCTCCCTCCTGTGCTGCATCCAAAGTGACATTGGCTTTCATATGGAGGGACGGAGCTGGGAGGTCACCTGCAGAGACGGCAAAGGGATGGCCCAGGACAGTGTAACTCTTGTCAGGGCTCGAAAAAGACTCTGTTCTGCAAGGGAAAGAGTTTCTCCTCCAGGAGTTCACACTTGGGGACCCCTTCCCATCTCCCGCCCCACACAAATCCTTTCACAAGACCTATCCCTGTACTCACCATCCCCTGGGGAGCTGCAGATGTCCTGGGCCATCACACCAGCACCTGCATCGTGGGGCACAGAGAGTTTTGGTCAGAGGGGCAGCAACCCAGCTCAGCCCATGTACCCCGTCCACGTTCCCACTGCTGAGCCTGTGCTAGGCAGGAACCATTCAACCCATGGGGCTCCATCCTAAGTGCCTTGTCTCCAGGCTTGACACCTTCCCAAGCTTGTTTTCATTGGTTTTGTGGTTCCAGGTGGATGCTTCTGGTATAATCTCACACTATAAACAACATACTTATCATGGCCTAGAGAATAGTCTTAGATGGGTCACAGCCTCTTTTGATCAGGAATGGAACTGCACTGGAACATGCTTACCCTGAGGGGTGTTTCCCAAGCTTTAATGTGATTCTCTAGATGCACCTAAATGTCACACTTTTGACGTCCCCTGGTCAAAATTTTCTGGTCAGAACTTGGAGCTATCTGGTCTCTTGGGATCTGTCCTCAACCATGGCAGGGTGGTGGAACGAGATGACCTTTAAGGTCCCTTCTAACCCAAACCATTCTATGATTCCATGATTCTCCAGACTCGAGAAAACTTTGGAAAGTTGGTGAGAAAACAAAAATAAAAGCTTTGAGCAACAACAAAATAACCAGTTACAGTTGATCCCAGAGCACAGAATTTGTCAGAAATTTCCACACAGAGTTTATGGAAAAGAGGGCAGCTTGAAAGAAAAATGGAAAAACAATCAGTGCCATTTTCAATCCTATGTTATCAAGATGTCTCCAAATTGCTTCAAGAGAGCAACTGAGGGAGAGCAGAACAGCCCCCTCATATGCTGAATTGTGAAGGAACAAGGTATTTCCTCCCACAAATGTTTCTGATTGTTTGTTTTAACCCAGTCAAACCAATGAAGAAAGGCCAGCGCTTGTCTGTCCTCTAGAAACAGTATAAGGGCAGGTTGGGGTTTGCTGGGCAGTCACACACTCCCAAGGGCTCAAGGCATGGGGAGGGTTCAGCAATGCAACCTCAAGCCCCTGCGCTCCGGTGCTGCTTGAAGGGGGGGGTGTCCCTCTCTCAGGGAGGTGATTGGGGGATGGTTGCAACTTGAGGCTGAGCTGGGCAGGCAGAACCTGGAGACCTGAAGGCACCTGAACTGCAATTTGTTGTCTTCTGGCTCCGTCCCTCTCTCCAGAGAATGCTCTTGGTGCCATCAATCATTGCCCAAACTGGCAAGGGGATGTGTTGTGTAGCTTGACTGTTTCTCTGTCAGGGGTGCAGGATTCATACAGGGGGGTGAAGCTGCTTTGGACAGTTTAGGGGAGGTGATCTGAAAGCTCCTGTCCTGAGCCCCCCACCATCCTGTTTTGGGTGCCCTGTGAGTCTGGAGAAAGGTGAGGGCGTTGGACACAGAGATGCAGGAGGAAGGTGGGAATTGTGGACTGGAGAGCTGCTGAGCAGGGCAGGACAGGGCCTGCCCCAGGCACAGGGCAGAACCCAGGGAAAGGGTGTGTGGAACAGCCGTGCAGCAATGAGGGGCAGAGCTGCTTTGGGGAGGGCAGGAGGACGATTGCTTCCTGCAGCTCCCTTGGACCTCTGAGCAATGGGGGTGATTTTCAACCCCTCTGAGGGGGTTTGAGTCATAGAGTGAGACTTGGCAGATGCTGAAGTGCTTTAAGGAGCCAGAGGCATCCACCTGGAATCACAAACCCACCCAAAATTGGCTCTGATGTGACAAAGATTCCTCCATGGCTAAGACCCAAAATGCTCCTGCTGTGCAATGGCTTGAACTTGGGGTGCATGTTGGGGGCTACTGATGCTGAAACCCAAGACCCTCAACTGCCCCAGAGCAAACATTTCCCTATCCTCCCAACAGCCCAGAACATGCCAGGGGGCAGCTCCCTCACCTGGGCTCTGTGGGGCCTGGGAGTGTTTCCTTGGAGCGTGCCCCATTTGCCATGACTCACCTGCGAAGCTCAGGTTCTTAGAAGCACTGAGGGGAGAGTTCCTCACTCGATTGCTGTTGTTCTTGTGCTGGTATCCACATGTGTATGTCCCTGTGCTCCCCCTCGTCATGGGGAAGAGCATGTAGTAGGTCCCCTTCCGATGTTGAGCTCTCAGGCTGTGTACCTCGACCCCATCCTTGCAGAAGATGATTCGGGTGGCAGGAGACTTCTGATCAATTATGCACCAAAACAAAACCTGTTCGTCATCCTGTGCAGCAGTGGGGATCATAGAGAGATCAGGAGCTGGGAGGTCACCTGGAGAGGTGGAACAGCAATGGCCCCAAGAATTTGTTACTGTTGTAAGGGCTGGGAAATACCTCGGCTCTGGGAGGGGTGAATTTCTTCTCCAGGGATTCACACAGGGAACAAAACCCTTTCCGGTTTCCATCTCCAGCCCCAAACAATTCCCTTTACAGGACGTGTCCCTGTACTCACCACCCCCTGGGGAGCTGCAGATGTCCTGGGCCATCACATCGGCACCTGCACCATGGGGCACAGAGGGTTTTGGTCAGAGGGGCAGCAACCCAGCTCGGCCCCGTGCCCCTCTCCACGTTCCCACTGCTAAGGCTGTGCTGGGCCAGAACCTTCCCAGCCACGTGGCTCCATTCTGCAGGTCCTTTGTCTCCTGTTTGATACTTCCCCAAACCCATTTTGGTTGGTTTTGTGGTTCCAGGTGGATGCTTCTGGCTCGCTGAAGCACTTAAGCATCTACCAAGTCTCATGCCATGAACCAGACTCCCTCAGAGGGGCTGGAAACCGCTCCCGTTGCTCAGAGGTCCATGGGAGCTGCAGGAAGCAACTGTCCTCCTGCCCTCCCTAAATCAGCTCTTTCCCCTGTGCTCCACACACCCTTTCCCATGTGTCCTGCCCTGTGCCCAGGTTGGGCCCTGTCCTGCCCTGCTCAGCAGCCCTCCAGTGCTGAGTCCCAAGGCAAAGCCAGCCCCCAACTCACTCAGCACCAGCAGCAGCAGCAGGAGGAGGAGGAGAAGGAGGAGGAAGGCCAGGTGAGCAGGAGACAGCCTGGCACATCCCAGCTGCCCCAGCATTGTTTGGGCACTGCAGGAACGGCATCTCCTGGAAGCGTCTGCTGTGGGCTGAGCTCTGCACAGCGCTTCAAGAGCTGCCTGGCCCGTGCCTTGCAGAGCAGCTGGGACTGGTCCTGCTGCCTGTCTGTGGCCAGCAGGGCCTTTCCCACGAGGAGGGGCTGTGGCGAGCGGGGGCCCTGCCTCAGCCCCCACTGCGGCCGCTGCGCCTGCAGAGCCCCTGCTTTCATTTCCAGACACCACGAGCCCGGAGCATGAGTTGTGTTTGCCTGTCCCTCTGGGGCAGCATCCTCCCTGCAAAGCCCTCCTGCCCCTTGGCCCCCACCCTACTCTGCCCTGCTCTCACTGCTCCTCCCATCTCTTCTGCCACATGGAGACAAGGGATTCTCAAAGGGGAAACTGGCCATGGGCACAAGTGGCTCCAGAGCTCTTGGGATGATAGCCAAGGCCATGGGGGTTCCAGTGGTTCTTTCCCCAGGAAGTGCCAACAATGCTCCATTGTGAAGAAACCCCCCAAGGCCTTTCTGGGCAGTCCTTGTGCTGAGGAGTTTCTTGTAAGGACCTGTCCACTAATGCTGCTCCTGTGGGGAATAAAGAGGATGAGATGGACATCTGTGTGTGGTTTTAGGGCTGTGATCTTGTTGGGATCAGGGAGATACGGTGGGTTGTTCCCATGGCTGGTGTTGCAATGCAGTCACAGGAGTATCCAGGAGGTACTGGCTGAGAAGATGAGGAGCAGGAGTTGCCTGTTATGTGAGAGAGCAGCTGGAGCCCATGATGGGGATGTGTGGAACTGCAGGTCGTGCACATGTGTGTCTCAAATGGGACATGAGACTCCAGGTCTGCAGGCCACCCTGGGGTAGTTGCACTGGGAGAAGAGGGTCAGGTTTGGTGCAGCCTGTGCACATCCGTGCAACACAAAACAGACACAGTTCAGAGCCCAGCTGCAAGTGAGTTATTGCAGAACAGATGAAAAGAGAGAAAAGGTGGGGTGTGAAAAAGCTGCGGACAGTGTTCAAAACAACTGCCACCAAAACCTGAAAGAACTTGGGGGAGCTTTCATCAGAAATAGCCTTGACTTTTTACACCTTCAGCCAGTGCAGAGATGTCCCACCTGATAACTAATCTTATACATTTGTTTTGGAGAACATCCACATGCGTTGCTCTATTTCACGTCCTTTATCTCAAGGCAAAATAGCCGTTTATTATTTGTCTGAGTTTAGAGGTCAGGAATATTCATAGTTAGTAATTGTTGCTGAGATTTTTAACAACTAAATCAATACTAGAACAAACATCCCTAACCTGTCTCTGAGACATTTCAACGTGGAGGAGCAAATCCCATTTTACATCCTGAGTTAACTAACCACTGAAATCTCTTTATTGTTCTTTCTCGAGACATCTCTCATCCCCTCGCACTAAGTTTCCCAATTGATTGCAAAACTTAGTTTCCAAATTTGAACACTATCTGGACCCTTCTCATTTGTTTAACTTTATACTGCTCTATTGTGGGGTCTCAGTTTGTAGAAGTACAGCTGAGACTTGGTTTCAAGTATCATCTTGGCAAACCTTGTGGCCTGACACTGATTATGGCAATAGTGCAATGGCTCCTCATTTTGATTTACATTCTCCCCTTTACCCTGAGTTTCCTCACCTTGTTCCAATATTTGATCCCCCTCATGGTAAAAAGCACCATGGTGTGATCCAAAGGCACAGAATCCTTCTGTGTTGGTGAAGTATTGACCAACAAACAATACTGAAATCAGGAAACAATTCAAAAGTGTCTAGAAAAATCATTATAGTGTGTTCTCTGTATCACTTTATTCCCTAATTCTGGTGGTGGTTGAAGAAATAATGGAGCTGGAATTTCGATGTCCTAAGGAGAAGTCATGAAAGGAATTGTATGTTGCTTCCTACTTTTTGTGTCTAGCCTTCATTATATTTTCCCTGAGCTTGACCTCCCACCCCCCTGTATTCCCTGGGCTCGCTGTGTTGAGAAGTGCTGCCGGAAGACTCAGATAATTTTTAGGGCATTTCTCCCTCCTGTGACTTGGTGCCGGATCCTCCCGTGCCAGGGCAGATCCACTGAGTGCCTGGTTTAACAAATGACGTGAACAGCAGCCAAAGTGCAACCCAGAGCAGAGCAGCTGAATTACCTAGCGAGTTCTTCCCAAAATCTCAGGGAACAGTCCTGGGAATCTTGGACTGTAAGTGTTTTAACAGTTTGTGTGTGTGAAGAATCTGGGATGTACAGCAATATGGGAACCATTTCTTGTGGAGAACAAAGTGTTAAGTTGCAATTATGATTTTTATGTGATATGTTTACTACATTTGCATTTCCTGGTTCTTTTTTTCCCTGTTTCTGTTTTTAATCAATGTATATCAGTACAAGTTTACTCTTTGAATATTCCTTCTAAAGCTGAAACCTGAACTGTGAATGCATTTCTCCAGGGTTATTCTGCAAATTTACACCTGTGTTTTGTGTCTGGTTTTAAAGAGTCTTTTAGGAAAATAGGAAATAGGGTAATGGAGGAAGAGAGACAGATGTTGCTATTCCTTGTTCCAGTGAGTCTGTATCTTGTCCTCTGACCATGGCAGGAGCAAGGGATGTATTTCATAAGAAGAACTATGAGACTTAATAATATGCAAGGACTTTAAATTTAAAAAAAGATGCAAAACATCTTTAGGATGTAAAGTCTGGTGAGAATTGGATTTAATATTCTCTCTTCCAGGTGTCAGGGCTGTTCACTCTCCCTGATGTCCTCATTCTCTGTGGCCTGTGCCACATGTTCCCCTGCTGGTTCTGCTGGAAGGATGAAGAAGGACATGGGAGAGAGGAGGTGCAGAGCCTGTGAGAGGAAGGAGCCAGGAACCATCTTGAAGAATTGAAGAAAGAGGGGGCAGAGCAGAGAATGGAACAGAAAGTGAAACCTTCTCTGCAGTGCGTTAATGCCAATTTCTGGAAAAACATAGGTCTAAGGAACACAGTAAAAAAACCACAGGCAGTTGTAGAGTCTGCTGTTAGGGACCTGTGGGCAGAGAGACAACCAGCAGTGGAACAGAGTATGCCTCTCCCCTCCTGCAGGGATGTGACCACAGCACAACCAGCTCCAGAAATCCCCTCTGTGCTCTGAGGGGGTGGCAGTGACTGTGGCCCAAAGGGCCAGAGCAGGTGCTGATGTGGCAATCCCAGAATGCTTGATCTGCCCCTTCTGGGCTTGCTGGGGAAAGTTCCCCCTCTCCTCCCACCTCAGCCTTCCTGGCTCCCGAAGCAGGTCTGGCTCTTGAGGTGTTGTCAGAAGAGTCAGTTGGGTTTATCATCCTGCTCTAGCTGCTGCTGACAAGCCAGCAGGGACCATCAGACAGCACTTGTCATCTTCTTATCCCTCTTGATATTTTTTGGCCCTCATTTTCTTGCTCTTTTATCTCTGAGGAAATGGCTGGAGAGGGAACAACTCATACAAACCATGAGGAGAAAACTGGGAGCCAACCAGAAATGACGTGAAGGTGGAGATCTCAGGCCTGGATCAAGAGTCCTCTGGAGAGATAAGCAGAGCAGAGGATTCCCAGCAGCATTCCCAGATGTCCAGGACCGTGGAAGTGCTCTCCTTGGAGCTGTCTGAGATGAGATCCCATGGACTCTGGGATGTCTCCCATTTCACTTGTCCCCTTGGTGATGTGAGCAGCTATTTTGACCAGGGCTGAAGACCTCCTGCAACTTGTCTTGGATGGGGACACGTAGAAGGAAGCAGGAGCTGGAGGTGAGGAGAAGGAACTCAGAGAGTATTCAGGGTCACAGGCAGGTTTAGAGGTGAGATTCACACCAGAGCTGGTGGCAGCTGAATGGCAGGGCACTTGCTTGGATCCATTTGGCATGGAGATATTTTGGCTCTAGCTACTCTGGGTAATGCACCATTTCTGAAAATAAAGTAATTTTGCAGGCTGTCCCTTGCACAGGCAACTCACCTGCTCCTGCTTGTCCCAGAAAGCTCACAAGGACCACTGAGCAAGCAGGAGATTCCAGTGCCATGCCATGGTTCTTGCTCAGCACCACATAGTTCCAGATAGCCTTTGTATAACACTGAAACACTGTTCCTTGTAATCTCCTTGATCAGAGTGGAGTCTTCTGGGCATGGGGAACAACAGAGGATTCTTTTCTGCCCTGCTCTGCTCATTTGAACACAGAGACTCAGACATCAGTTTCCCAGCAGCAACAGCCCAGAAAGGCACTGTTGATTTCTCTGAAAGCAACTGTGGGCTGTTGTTCAGGGGCACTTGTTGTGGCTTCATTCTGTCCCACCCCTTCAGTAGCTGCTGGGACAGGACCTTCAGCCAGGTTGGATGAAGACCCTACAGAAATATTCTGACACTTCACACCTTCTGTGTGACCTTGCCCAGCCTCCAAATGCCATTCTGGAGAGGCCCAGGG